TATTTTTAACTCCTCCTGGTCTTTGCTTGTAGCATCCTTTAATTCATCAAGTGTGTCTTTCATCCATTGGAAATATTCAGTCACTCCTCTTTTAACTTCCATTCATAAACATTTTGTTTCATAACATTAATTAAAATTGACAGAGGTAGCTCTAGATGTGCTCACTAGGTTGTGCCAAGAAATCCAGAGTACAGCTACATAGCTAACTGACAGGAAGAGGCACATATTTATTCCCATTCCCAAAAAGGTGATCCAACAGAATGTGGATATTATGGAACAATATCACAAATACCACATGGAAGCTAAATCTTGCTGAAGATTATCCAAGAACGCCTGACAGAGTACTGCTAGAATACAAACTGGGTTTAGACATTAAAGCATTAGAGATACCATTATTCATATCCGATGACTCCTAACTGAAAATGGAGTATCAGAAGGATGTATATTTGTGCTTTATCAATTATGTAAAGGCATTTGACTATGTGGATCACAACAAATTATGGGTAACTCTGAGAAGATTGGGTATCTCAGAACACTTGATTATGCTCCTGTGAAACTTTTACCTAAACCAGGAAGCTGTTGTCTGAACAGAACAAGGAAACACTGCATGATTGCAAATCAAGAAGGAAATGTGTCAGGGATGTATCCTTTCTCTGTAGCTTTTCAGTCTGTCTGCAGAACAGATCATTTGGGGGGCTGGAAAGATTGAAGTAAAACTCTTACATTCTGCATTATGCAGATAACTCAATCTTGCTCACTAAAACTTAGGAGGATTTAAAGCATTTGCTGTAGAAGGTCAAGGACTGCAGCCTTCAATATGGATTGCATCTCAACATAAAAAAAAGATCCTCATCACTGGGCCAGTTGGCAATATCATGGTAGATAGAGCAATGATTGAGATGGTTAATAGTTTCATCTTTCTTGGATCTACAGTCATTGCTCTTTGTTAGCAGGAAATCAAGATGAGTTGCTTTGGGCAAGTCTCTTGTCAGGGACCTTTCTAGAGTGCTAAAGAGTAGGATGTTATAGTCTAGAGACTAAGATACACCTTATTCAGGCCATGGTCTTCCATGGTCTTCTCAGTTGCTTGCCATGCATCAGAGAGCTGGACTTTGAATAAAGATGATGGAAGAAGAATAGGTACCTTCGAGTTGTGGTGCTGGAGAGGAGTATTGAATATACCACAGACTGCCAAGAGAACAAACAGTTCTGTCCTGGAGAAGTTGAAACCAGCTACTCCTTGGAGGCAAGGATTTTGAAACTCTTTCTCATATTTTTGGGCATATTTCCAGGAGAGACCAATCCTTGGATAAGGACATTGTGTTTGAAAAAGTAGAGGGTTAGTGCATGAAGACGACTCTGGATGAGATGGATTGACATAGTGACTTGTGGCAGTGGAGTCAGGTGTGTCAGAGATGGTGAGTTTGACTCTGGGCAGAGCAAGTTTCAAAGCTCTTATTCATAGGATCACTATGAATCAGCATAAGACTGGGCAACATATAACAACAACGATATAACTAACTACAATGAGACAAAGGGGTTTTTTGGGGGTTGGTTTTATTTTTACTGAGTAAAATATACTTTATTATTGATGGTACATGACAAGATGAGCTATTTAAGCCCTTCGCCTTTCTCTAATTGGAACTCACTGGAATCTGTGTCAAGGATCTCAGACTCAGTGTGTCAGGGGATTGAGGCAAGGACTCCCCAGCAGCTGAGGGTCTCTTTCTCTCTGTCTCTCTTCTAGTGCATTGCTGAAGCTGATGATCCAAGGAGCTCATATTCTTTGGAGGCCATGTGAACCAACAGGTTTACCACCTGCTTGTTGTACCTAAATTCATTGTCATATAAGGAAATGAGTTTGACAAAGTGGTCATTCAGGAAAGAGCTTTTTCACCTGTATTTCCAAGGAGCACTCTGGTTGCACCTTTCTTTAAGACTTCTTTGTTCTTTTGCCATTTCATGCAATATTCAGTACACTTCTCCAACACCAGAGCTCTAAGACTTCAATTCTTCCTCTCTCATCTTTATTCATTGTCCAGCTCTCAGCAGCATAGCAAGTGATTGAAAACATCATGGCCTGAATCAGGCTCACTTCAATCCTCAAAGTGAAGGGCTCCTGAATAATTAGAAGTCTTTGACTGCAGACTTTCCCAGTGCAGTATGTCTCCTGATCTCACTGCTGGTACTAAAGTGTTGATTATGAATCCAAGTTGAAATGAAGTCTTTGACAGTTTCATCATTTCTCCATTTATCATGATGTTGCCTATTGGTCCATTAGTGAGAGTTTTTGTTTTCTTGACTTTGAGAAGCAATCCATATTGGAGGCTATATTCTTTGATCTTCTGCAGCAAGCATTCCAAGTCCTACTCATGCAATAAAAGTAGTGTCATCTTAACATAGGTTGTTGTATTTTCCTTTAATCCCATTGCCACGTTCTTCTCAATAGAATCTGGCTTCTCGAATACTGTGCTCACTACAGATTGAATAGGTATGGAGAGAAGATGCAACCCTGGTAAACACCTTTCTTAATTTTAAATCATGATTTCTTAGTTTTTCCCATATTCTGTTTACATGAGTACAATTACGTACAATACGTGAGATTTCCATTCTTAGTATTAGCCAAAATTTCTTATGATCCACACAGACACATGCTTTTGCATAGCCACTAAGCATAAACAGATATTATTTTGGTATTCTTTGCTTTCAGCTAGGCTCCATCAAACATCAGCCACGATATGTATTATCATGAGTGTTAAAGTATATAAATTCACTGGAAATGTAATTTGCTACCTGATACTAACTCTCGTGGCCTAGTAGCAAGAAGCTGCACTGTAATCCCAAAAGCACGTGGTTTGAGGTCACCATCTGTGCTGTGGGAGAAGGATGGGTGAACTTCTTCCTTGTGATTAACTGCATGTGAAAACCTGGTGGAGGGTCAGCTTTTGGTCGAGTCCTACTCTTCAGTACACAGAAACAAGCAAACTTTTGTATATTTCCTTTTCCTTCACCCAATTTATCTATTGTTTTCTCCACTCGCTTGCCTCTCATGTAGTGAAAACACAATATGATATATAACCTTTCACTCAAATAATAAATAATTACTTCTTTATTATTATAGAGTATATAAATTTCTGTTAACCTGCATAGAAGTACTGTATAGTAAATTAACTTAAATAAAATTAAAGAGCTCTAATAAAATCGTACATCTCTATTTTTACTGTGAATTAAGATTATAACCTATATGTCCATGTTTACTTAAAAAGAACTTTGATGCACTATCTTTTTATAATTTCATTATTATTATTTTGTTATTCTGCTTTTACAGCGACATCACATTGGAGATCGTAGTCTTTCCTTATGTAATATGTTTCTGGATGAAATGGCTAAACAAGCTCGAAATCTTATAACTGATATTTGCACAGAACAGTGTACTCTTAGTGACCAGGTAATAAATTGTTTCCTTTAATGAAGATGAAAAATTTGTAAATGAACACAAATAAGTGAACTGTTAGTTTGTGGTCTTTTTTTGTTTTCCTTTCATTCAGTTCTCAAAATTTTATAATATCTTGTAAAGGTTCATAAAAAGGTACAGGTTTTTACAGATGACTGTGATTCAACATGTATTACACAGAATTGTTTGGTTTACCTGGCAATGTTTTTTGGTTTTTTTCCTATGTAATTGTTCTTCACTTTCTTTTTACAATATTAAGTTGTTAAATTGTATTGGCATTGTGCTGGACACTTGGTGTATATAGGGAAATGTTGATTTCTACTCTCAAGACAGAGAGAGATAGACAAATGATTTTAATATGCTGTATTTGCTATTCTCTGAACAATAGAACAATAAAGCAAAAGCAACTTGGCAGTGATTTTAAGTTACTATAAAATAGAAAATTTTTATATTTATAAAATAAGGCAGATAACAAACCCCACAATTAATTTAATGGGTTACCAGAAGGCAGGCAGTCTTGCACCTAGCATAGACATTAAGACATAGAACTTGGTAAGTTACTAGAGAAATCCCCTCTCTGTGTCCCATTTTAGATTTAGCTCCCTCCCACTTGTATGTATATTAATACTTATTTTTATGTTAATTATTTCTTTTATATTTCTTTATAGTTTATCACCTAAGAGTAGATCCCTAGACCTTGTAATATTTTCCCATTAAAAAGTTCTGGTTTTGGTCTGTTAAGTCTCTTTTCATGGCCATCTTTTTATTTTCTTTATAATTTATCTAATGAAGAACTTGGAACATTTGACTATAGAGTTTTTCGTATTCCATAGTGTGAGTTTTGGTTTTTGCACTCATGATGAAGTTCAACATACCTTGTCATTCTTTGCATTTCCAGTAATGTGGTTGCCAGATCCAGAGAATTGATCAACTTTATGTATAAAAATAGATAGAGGAACAACAGAAACAGATAGAAGGTCTAGTTTGACCTATGAGCTGTAATTTGCCTCCCCAGCTTTTAGGAAATACTGCAGGAGGGGCTCATAGAAAGGATACTGCCTGAGTTCTTGGCTATTCCTTGTATTATGTGCCCTTTCTCCATTAAAGTCCCTAGATATAGTAAGTAAAGATCTTTGGCTCATGTTATTGTTATATGTAAAATTCTGATTCACATTTTATTAATTTGAGCATTTTAATTGTTATTCTTGAATAAAGTTTGCTGTCAATGTGTCTTGAAAACGTAAATTTTTTTCTAAATCACATGCAGGTTTTCAGTTGTCTATATAATAATTTTCTTTGTACGTCTAGAAATTGGTTTTTCCAGGTAGTCTTGAGAATTTGATATGTTCATTCATATGTGTATTGAACTCTTTTTCTTTAGTTTTTTGAAAGATTGCCTCAATTGTCGGGTCTTGCTGGGGGGTGGGGTGTGTTGCAGTTTTTTTGTTTACTTATCCCCTTTGTTTTTCTTTAATCAGGACAGCCTTCATATTTGTGTCTTAATATCTGTGTGAATATCTCATGTTGGGGGTCTTCCTCTTCATCTTTTCCAGCAACATGTCCTTTTCCAAGGTCTCCTTTTTTTTGTTGTTTTACTATAGTAATTGCTTTCAGTGTATGCTTATTTTTTGAGATTTCCTGATTCTCATTCCTCTTCTACACTTACTTGTGTTTTGCTTAATTTCATGTTTGTTCTTTTTGTCCAACTCAGTTTTTATTCCATTCTCAGCAGCTTTTCTCAGGTTGGGGCCTTGTCCTAGAAATGAGTTTGTCTGATAATTGTAGCTGCTCACAGAGATTACATTCCTGCAGCCCCTTCCACCTTTACTATTGATCTCCTGCACTTAATCTGCTAATAGACTATCAGTTCTTTAGTAAATATTTACAGATTATTTTGCGTTTTTCTTTCACACATCTCTTGGATCCTTTTACATTTCTGCACAAACACTGATAATAGCCATAGGATCTTTGTAGCTGCCCCATCCACTTGTGCTTTGGGGCTGGTGAGGATATCTTGATATTTTAGTTTGTAGGTTTTAGTTTTATTTTCTAATAACTATTTTTATGTAAGAAGTTGTAGAGATATTAAAAATTTTTTCTAGTTAATGTTTCTTAAAACTGGAAATTTCCTTAAAATTATTAATTTTGTTTCTAAAGGAGCTTCTTTTTACACAACACAAAGGCAGTATAAGTTTTTCTGCATTTCTTATAAAAATGTAATTTGTTCCTTTGGCTTTAACTAACACTTCCATATAATGAATCTATTTTTTATTAGTTCTGTCCAATAGAAATATAATACAAACTACAAAAATAATTTAAACTTTTCTCAGAGGGGGTAAATAATGTATACTGCATTGAAACGGTGAGCGAGAGAACTATATCCAAGTGTAGCTAATGGTTACTGGCTACTGTAATTAAAGAGTTCAGGTCTGTTTCTGACTGCAGTGTTCTTTGTTTGTCTGTTATGTTACCTTTGAAAGTGAAATGGATTATTTCCCACATGTGTTTTGTCTTTTTCTTCCACAAGAGTTTCAGTTGTGTCTTAACTTAGAAATTGTCTTGTCTTCTTAATGCCTGCCTCTCATATTAAGTTACCAAAATCTTTAATTTTTCTTGCGTAAGTTTCTCTCAAATTTTGTTAATTTTTATTACACACACCTTCCATAATCCTATCTTGTCTGTATTGTTTATAACAATTGTCCGTGCCAATTAACATTTCCTTGTTTCCATGTTTTCTTGCACTGATACTACAGTTGTTGTTAGGTACTGTTGACTTGACTACCACTCAGAGTGACTCTATGAGTAACAAATCTGGACCTTACCCTATCCTGCACCATCCTCATGCTCTGTGCCATGTTCAGGCCTAATATTATAGTCACTGTCAGTCTGTCTGATTGAAGGGTTGGCCTTTCACGGACCTACCTTTCTTCTTAAAGGGCCAAGGATCTACCTGGCCCCTTCTGAGAGCTCAAGAGTATGTGAGACCAAGTTTTAGCATCATTTTATCTAAGGAGCATGCTGATTGCATTTCCCCCAAGAGAGATTTGATTGTTCTTTTGTCATTCCATGGTATATTCAATACTGTTCACCACAATTAAAAGGTGTCATAGTTAATCTTAGGAAAAAACATATATTTTTAATTTCCAGTAGTTCTAGGATTGCTCACATTTAAAATATAGCCTCTAGCTTGTCACACAAAACCCTTTCTGAGAGTTTAAACATCTCATTTTATTTACTCTGCACTGAACTTCATTCTCCATTATTTTATAGTTACCGTATACTTTGAACATACCAGATCCTTGCATAATTTTGTTTTTCTTTTTTACTTTACATGTTCTTCTTTCTTATTTGCTTATTATATTTTTTTGTTATACTTTAAATGACAACTCTTTGTGGTGGTGTATAATATTTATTAATTTCTGTTTTCCACCAAGCGGTAAGGGCTCCCCAACTCAAGTAAGCACTCATTTATATCACTGTCTTTAGCGTTAATACAATAGCTACTACATAGTTTGGATATAGCAGGAGCCCGATAGTTAAAGTGCTCTGCTGCTCACAAAAGGATGATGAAGTGAGTTCACCAGCAGCACTGGGGGACAGTAAAAAACAATAATAATAAAATGGACTGAACTTAGATTAGCTGAGTTAAGTAAGATAAGATTATCCTAGACCTGACATAGACTTAAATAATTAAACTAAAATAAACCAAAAAAAAAAGACTTAAGCAGTCTGCTTCTCTATAGTGAATTGGAATCAGCCTGATGGCACACAGTTGGATGTAGCTAAGATTTGCTTAATAGTTGCTATGATTTCAAAGTTCTTGGTGTAATAAAATCTTAATACTTTTGAAATTTAGTTGCTGCCCAAGCATTGTGCCAAAACCATCAGTCAAGCAGTGAATAAGAAGTCAAAAAAGCAGACTGGTAAAAAAGGGGAACCTGAAAGGGAGAAACCAGGAGTTGAGAGCATGAGGAAAAATAGGCTGGTAGTAACCAAGTAAGTCATCTTATTTCATTGTATCTTTTTTGTTATTGGTGGGATATTTTCTTTTCTCTTTCTGTGTTATTAGTAATGAAGAAGTGATGGAAAATTTTTCCTATCAGAGATTCTTTTTTAACTTGTGAATGAACTTGGCTAGCCAGTTAGTGCTTATTTTATCCCCAAAATCTTAACATCTGTATATTTTTATTTTTGTAGATGATGCATATAATGATGACATTTGTCTTTACATACTAAATGCTGAAGACCAAGAGTTTGTTTAAAATTGGTTTAGGATGCCTATGCCTTACATAATCTCTAATGTTAATTTTTTAAAAAAAAATCAGATATATGAGACTTTTTTCCCTCCTAGTATGCTTTAATGTATTAGACAATATAGTCATAGTTGTTTAAAACCAAAAAATCAGGCCAAATAGCATTTTGAGCTGTTTGCTTGCTTGCTTACTTAGGAGGGACCAGTGAGTAGGCCAGTTAGTAGGTGATTTTTTTTTGTTTGTTTAAAGTGTGTTTCCTTCTTCTTACTTCATAATTTGATAAAATTATTTACCGTTTTGTGGTCAGTCTTCCATCCCCTACAACAAATGTAAAGTAGGAGTTGGAAATTACTGTCTTTGTCAATACAAAATAAGCTCTTTCCATTGTATATTATTATTATTTCCATTGTATATATTAAATATATAGTTGTTACCTAAATGTAGAAACAATTCAGCAAATTAGTCTCATATATGAGTGAGATCCTTAAAGTTTTTGAACTTTCCTAGCTGAGTCGAATAAAGATGAGATTCTATGATTAAGACTAAGATCTAATTTAGTTATAAAATTAATTTCATATTAACTGATAAGATTATTAACATTTTATTTATTGTTTATTATTTCTTTCAGCCTTGATAAACTGCACACTGCACTTTCTGAGTTATGTTTCTCTATAAATTATGTTCCAAATATGGTGGTTTGGGAGCACACATTTACTCCAAGAGAATATTTGACTTCTCATCTGGAAATCCGCTTTACTAAGTAAGAAAGAATATAAATTATTTTTGTTGTTGATTTTGGTTCAGTCATTCAGTCATTGCCTTTGAATAGGACCTGATTCATAGCTAACCCTCCCATGGGTTTCTGAGGCTGTAAATTGCATGGGAAAAGATTGCTTTGTTTTCTCCCTCAAAGTCACTCATGAATTCAAACCACCAGAGAGGGGTGGCTTTTGAATTAGCATAACTCTCTTCAGACTAGTGAGTTTTTTTTTAACTAGTTATGTTTATTCTTATTATTTTTGTTGTTGTTTTAATAAGGCATATGTTTTTCAGAGCATCAGTAGAGCAGACAGGAAATTAAAAGATGTATTGCGATGGGAAAGTCTGCAGTTTAGGGACCTCTCCAAAGTACTGAAGAGCAATGGTGTCTCTCTGGAGACTAAGGTGCACCTGATATGGGCCATGGTCTTTGCAATCACTTGTTAGGCATCAGAGAGTTGGACAGTGACCAGGGAGGATAGAAGGAGAATTGATGCCTTTTGGCTGTGGTGCTGGACAAGAGTATTGAGTGTACCATGGCTGCTAAGAAAACAAACAGATTCATCCTGGAGAGGGTTAAACCGTGCAGCTCCTTGGAGGCAAGGATTCTGAGGCCTTTTCTGACATACTTTGGTCATGTAAGGAGAGAGACCGGTCCTTGGAGAGGGACATCATGCTTGGGAGTGTGGAAGGCAGGCGCAGGAGGGGAAGGCCCTCTGTGAGGTGGATTGATTCAGTGACTGGGGTAATC